CCTCCACTGTCGCCGACACGACGTCACCCTTCACCGGGAGCCCGCGTGAAAATCCTGCTCCGCGGGACCGCCAGGAATAAATAATGTTTACAAACAAAACCATTGTTGACCAGTCGCCCGAGGGCTCGACGCGTGTGCCTCGTTTACAGCTGGCTCGCAGCCGACGTCGAATTTTCCGATCTCCAACGTCTAGAATCCATTTATCCTCATTTCTACGAATGTAGTTTCATTTTAATCTCGGTTCAGCTAATTCTTTCTCTTTTTCTAGTTTGAAGAATTAGAAAAAGATTAAGAGTGAGTTGAACTGAGATTAAAGTTAATCTATATTGGTAGAAAGCGTTAAAATCGTGATTAAAATTAAACTGCATCGGTAGAAATGGAGATAAGAATTAGAAAAGAATGAAGAGCAAAAAGATGAAGTTGAACTCAGATTGAACTTAATCTACATTGACAGAAACGAGCATTAATAATTCGCGCAGGATTTCGCGATCTAGAAAGATCATACGGATTCACGCGAACTTAACGAAGACAAGTTCACGTGCTTCTGGAACGATCGATACCTCCTGCATTTCAGAAGTGATTAAATCATCCACCTCGTGACATTTTGACGTTAAAAGTTCCTTCGAGTAAAGAGTGTAACCGGTAATCTACAGGATTCCTCACGCGATGATATCGACATCCCGTATCAATTTATGTGCACAAATATGTAACCCACGTACGATATACTCGTTAAACTTTTGGTTTACCTTTGAAAGATTTAATACCTGGGATAGAATAAATTTCATTCCCTCTCTTCCGTCCTTCGCTATCTTAGTTTCTCTCGCGAAAACCTCCTCGCCGATCGGTACTTTGCATCGATTATAACTTGCCAATGTTTACACTGTTCGCGTTATTTTCGGTCCGCAAACCACGGATGTTAACCGTAGCTCTCGGCCTCGTGAAAATAAGTCGATTCGGTAGAGCGAACTTCGTTTTTGCTGGCGACACGCCAAAGATCTGTGAAGTTAACATGACACTCTATTAATATAAAAAAAATGACAGTAACACTTTTCATAGTTGCAAAGTTCCTTTAAAAATTATTCCTTAAAAAATTAAAGAAGTTACGCTTTTTTTCTATACTAAAAAACCGAAATTAGCACGCTATATCTTTAATTTTGGTTTTTAGTATAAAATATGCTATACTTTTTTATTTTTATAAGGAACTGTAGAATTATGAAAAGAGTACTGTAATTTTTTTTATATTGATGTCGTATTATAACTTCATAGATTCTTTTTAAATATGATTTGTGAAGTTAGCACGACATTCTATTAATATAAAAAAGAAAATAATGACAGTTTCAGTAGCACTCTTTACATAGTTCTACAGTTCCTTATAAAAATAAAAAAGAGTTCCGCATTTTTTTATACTAAAAAGCCTAAATTGAAGATATGGCGTGCTAATTTCACAAATCTAGCACATTTTCTCCTCGAAAGTACAGAAAACGATAAATATTGCTTCTTTTGACAGCAATTCCTGTTAATATTACTCGAATTTTATCGTAATTTGAATTTTATATGTAATTTGAAAGAAAATTCCATTTATTACCAATTTTTATACACTCTAAGCATAGAAGATGGTTGGAGAAAAAATGAAGTTAACACTTCAAATTTTGTCAAATGTTATTTTTTTTTAGTTAAATCAACGGAACTATTTCTAAAACCTATCAGGAACTATATAAAACTATTGAGGGTGCAAATAGATCTTGCATTGAAACTTGTGGTGCAAAAAGATGAGGTGCCAACTTCACACGTGCCACGCCAAGCGAGCATTTCACGTGCGCGGCCGAAAACGACTGAATAAGGGAAAACACTACGTGTTCGAGGGATACGAAAGGTGCCGTTAGCAAAAGTCAGAAACTTTTACGAGTAATCGTTGTTCGAGAGCACGTGCTTTCCCCCTACTTTATTTCCCTTTTATAGCTAGAAAATGTATGTGTCAAAATTGAAATTGTAGAGACACATAAAAATTTTATAAATCGCAAAACTGAGACGATCGATCGAGAACCTAAACGAACGATTTTACTGAAGTATTTAAAAATTTAGTTAGATCTGAAAATAATTTTATTGGACCATCAAAATTGAAAGACGATCGATTGAGAACCTACACGAACGATTTTGCTGAAGTATTTAAAAATTTAGCTAGATCTGAAAATAATTTTGTTGGACGATCAAAATAATTATGTTGGATCGTTAAAATAATTACGTTGGATCGTTAAAATAATTATGTAAGAGGTTTAAGCATGATGACAATGCTACAAAAAAATGTTGACATTCTGAAGCAATCAATTTGAGCGTCCTTAAGTAATTATTTTGATGATGCAATAAAATTCTTTTCAGATCTCTATATCCAGGTAAATACTAATCTATCATATAGCCAATTGTTAGATACTTCAACAAAATCGTCCTTTTTGTACAGACAACAGATCTGAAAATATACTCAATAAACCAACTTTTCATAAATAATAAACCATCGGAACATTCCGATCACACATATTCATTTCTTCTGCTCTTGATTAAAACTTTAATTAAGTTTATAGCCTAATAAAGTCCGAAATGTATATTTTTGAGGACACTTCTTAACATACAATTCAAATTGTTACTAATCTGCTTTTGAAAAATTCTTTTCAGTCCTTCGTAACCGTTTGATTTATATCTCTGGATTGACGTAAAATCGAGCGCATCGGCGACGCATTTGACGGCCAAACTCCTTCGTAATGCTTAGGATCTATTCATTTACGTAATTAATTTTATGGCTCAGCTGTGCTTCACGCTCGCGAAGAGCTAATAGAATCAGTAGGTCGCGTGTCACGAAGTGTCCTTGCGCAAATACACACCGGACACATCCTCTATTAATACATCCTACCCCGTGCATCCATACTCTTTATATCAACGGCAAATCGTGTGTAATTCATTTTTATTATTCTCGACCTTCATATAAAAGAAACAAATGATCGAGCCGATTATAGTTATGAATCGCGTAATCGTTCCGTTTATCCTCCGAAATTAGCGTGGCGCGATAGTTCTGTCAGTCATTCTCTCACATAATCAGAAAACAGTATCTTGGCACACCGAACTTGGTGCGTGAATGAATGGACCACGTTGAATATCGGGTTACATAGCTGTGTCTGTTAATGAAGTCTTAAAATCCATCTTGAAATATTTCGATTCTCCCGTCGTTTTGAACGACATATCCCTCGCCTTCGCACAACCGGAGGTTTGCCGTCGGCGAAGAGTAGCTCCGCGGGTATCGATTGTTCGACGCGGTATCTCTCTCGCGAAAGTTCGCTAAACTGTATTCAGCCAACAGCAAAGTTCGCGAAGCGTGGTCGATTCATGAGCAATTCCTTCAAAGCCGTCGGCGCACGGAACGGTGATAATAATGATTCTATGTACTTAATTGCGTATAGCACACTAAAAAATATAGACGTGGATTTAACTATACGATGTTTGTATATAATTCTCATCTTGTTAATATTAAACACCAACACACCCATTTAGTTTAATCAATTTACTACATATTTAGTATATAAATTCACATAGAAATTATTTAAGCATCTAAAATCCAGCTTCGACCGTTATGGCATCAAACTCTTATTTGTAGTCAATCAATTTATTTCTTGTTTGAATGTAGGCAAACAAAATCCTTGATTGATACAATAAAATAATTTAGTTGAAGCAAAACATGGTTATTGTAACATTTTAACAATATTTATCAGAAACAATTAGTAAAATGCTATAATAACCAAATGTTTTGTGTTTTAACTGGATTATTTTATTGTATCAACCAAGGATTTTATTTGAATTGATCCAACTAAATAAATTTCTCAGTACATGGGGCGGTATTCATAGTTCGTTCTTATTTCAAGACTGTCTTAAGTAATATCTTAAAATACGGCCCTCTGATTGGTTCGTGACATCTTAAGATTGTACTTAAGATGATCAAGGGGATTTAAATATAAGAATCGACTATGAATACCGGCCAATAGATTTAACACCGGAGGTTTTAAACAAGAATACTTAAGGAGATAATGGACGCGCCCAAGGTGTGGTTAAAACCCCTGATGTTTGCATTAACGCCATTAAAGGTGAAGATTTAAAACCCCTGGTGTTAAATTCATATCGTGGGAGCGTTCATTCTCACCTGAATGTTCCTTAGGTACCATTTTATTCTTATTTAATATTCGAACCAAAGGATAATACTTTATCCTTACTGCGTAGTACTCGGATGGGAATCAACATAATCCTTAATAGTATAATAGAGGTTTTAATTCCTTTATGATGCTGATATAAACATTAGTTTTAAATTCACATCTCTTGATGGCGTTGATATTAACACAGTGATAATTATATAGATATCGCGTGTTAAATCTACACTTATATTTTTTAGAATACATTTTCGAATACATCTTCAAATGTTCTGCAATGTTTTTGCAATTTATGCAGTGTCGCGTCACGATCAAAAGACCGTATGGGTCGTTTGAGTCAGACTTATCTTTGCGTTTACGCGAAAGTCGGGTTGACTTTGATTGCTGGTATAAGTGAGATAACTTTTGTACGACAGGATAATGGGAAATTCTCTTGGTGCTAACGAGTTTACGTCGCGTAATATTGTGTGCGGTTTAAGTTTCGAAGAAAAATTGACAATAAAACCCATTTTATTATATACTTTTTTTATTAGATTAAGCTCACAGCTCAAAGATAATTAAGAATTGCGCGGTTTATCACATCACTTACTATC